TGGGCTGTGGCTCTGCCCTGGATGCCCTGCAGAGGGCGGCATTTGGCCCGGGAAATGGGAGCATCTGGCTGGATGAGGTGAAGTGCAGGGGCAGGGAGTCCTCCCTGTGGGATTGTGCTGCCAATCCCTGGGGACAGAGCGACTGCAAGCACGAGGAGGATGCTGGAGTGAGGTGCTCTGGTGAGCGGTTCTGGTTGAGCTGGGGCAGGGGTGGGCCAACGGGGTGGGCCAGGGTTGTCCTCGGAAGTTTGCATTCTGAAAGCATCGAGGTGCTGTGAGTCCCAGATGGAGGGGCGGGGGAGGACTCCACATTGATGTTGTGGTAATCGAGGGGTGATTTCAGGGACTAAGGTGGGGAAAATGGACGGCCCTGCACTCTGGCCAATTCCTGTACTGTTTTTCCCTCTAGGTGAAAGAAAAGCATTGCTGTCTACTATAGCAGGTACAGTGCCACAGTATTCAGATTCTGGGGACTTGTTCTGTGGAATCTGACAGGATCAGCCAACTCAGAAAGAGAAAGATACTGAGGAGCCATTGGCTGGTGGGGAAGTCTTAGGGCATTTTCCTTGGGGAAGCTTTCCCTTCGTTGGCCCATTGCACCAGAAGTGTCTCTTGCCCTGGGGCCAAGGCAGGCTGGTTCCCGTGCCGCAGGATCTCAGGATTTCCCATTTGTCTGTTGAGTGTCACTGCTCAGAGGCAAGACGCTTATTCCAGGAGCTGTTTGATGCTCTGGTCTGGTGAAGCCCAAAGAAAGGGAGCTGCATTTGTGTGGCTTGGTGCTCAGAGGCTGTTGCAGCAGGGAAGCTCTCTGATAATCCTAGCGCTCCCTTGGACCTCACTGGAGTGGAGTTGAATTTATCTCAGGACAAGGCTTGGAGTGCCCACCAGGGTCGTGGTCAGTCCTGTTATGCCTGAGTCTGGGACTTCCTCATCCTGGGTACCTCTGGAAATGCTAAAGGAGTTTCCCGAGGCCCCTGCCCTTCTCCAAATTCTATTGGTTTTATTCTCTTTAGGGACCAGACCAGGCCCAAATCCTGTCCGTGGCATCTTCTCCCTGTCTGAGATGCTCTGCTTCATCCTGGGGGCCCTTCTCTTCCTGGTCCTCATGATCCTGGTAACTCAGCTGTACAGATGGAGAGCAGCGATCAGAGGTGGGCTACAGGGGGTACTGGGTAACATGGAAAGTGTGTGGAAGCAGGAGGGGGGGCCAGGCATGAGGTGGGGGGGAAACCGTGTTTGAAAAACTCCAGCTGCTCTACGTTAAACTGTAAAGGCTGAATCTACAGAGGCTTTGAGGGTTGGAGTGTGAACCCTCGTAAGTCATGGCTTCTATGTGGGAAGGAAGGGATAGGAGCTGAGCTGTGGACACAGGGTAGGCAAGGGAGAAGGTGCAGATATGGTGCATGGGGTTGGAGACTATGAAGGCATCCTGGCAGCCCCGAGGGCTTCTCCACCTGTGAGCCCTGGGAAGAACGATTAGCCTGTTGGTTCAGGGATGAACTCAGGTGGCGATCTCTCACTTGCTGGTGGTTTGCTCAGCCTTATCCAGTTTCGAAGATGCTCTCAGTGAGGCTGTGTACGAGGAGATCGATCATCTTGTGACAATGAAGGAAGATCTGCTGGGCGGCACTGGTGTGTATCCCTACTTTGCTTTCCTGGGACTTCTGGTCCCTGCTGTCTGTGAGCCACGTCTTCTCAGAACGTGCCAGACCCCATATGTGCCCCAGGCTCACAGAAGCAGCCCCTCCAAAGGCTGCAGGATGGGCCCCTCCTGAGCCCCTGTGAACGCTGAGCCTTCTCTTTATTCTACGGGAGCCTCGCCCGCTCCAGCATTTCTTTTCAGCCTTACCACAGGTCCCACGGGCGTGAGAAGGCACGTTCTGCTTGTTTTGTGATGTTTGTCTCCACATTAGCGTCCCTGTCAGAGGACTCAGTGACTACCCTGTCATATTACACTGGGGATGGTGAGGAGGACAGTGACTTTAAATCTGCTCCAGGTAGTACGGGTGGATCTGCCTTGGCTGGATATTAGGGGCAGGGGGCTTTCCCTCTTAGAGATGAGATCCAAGAGGGACCGTCTTCCTTTGACTAGGATTAGAGAGGTCTCTTCTCTCCTCCTTCTCTGGTTGCTCTGAACATGCCTCACGTTGAGGCTGGGCTCTCTGTGTTCAACACCATCCTCATTCAGTCACAACTCACACACATTGTTTTGAAAAATATCGTCTGGAAAGTGTAACTGACAAAATATTTAGTAATCCATTGGTGTAAGAGTTTCTCTGAAATATGTAGTTTTAATAAGGCACTATTGAGGTGTTTGGGTCATTTTTCTGGCTTACGGACACATCAGAGTGAAATATATGACCTTGGATGAGACCTGTTAAAACAGGGAGTGGGTAGTTAGTGCCTCTACTTTAGCAGCCTTCAGAATCTCTGCAGCAGAAGGATTTCAGATATTTCCTAGGCCAACCCATTTACTGTGGTTTCATCTGACCCCCTTGTCTGCTCTTAAAACCCCAGCTCAGGGGACTGACACTCCTGCTGAGGATTATGATAATGCTGAAGAGGTACCAGTGCCTGAGGCTCTTCCTGCCTCTTGGATGATCGAGGGGGACATGCCCCCCGAGGAGAATGCGATGATGGCCTCTCAGACAGGTGAGTGGGGTAGCTGATCTCCTGTAATCTTTTGTCTCTGTCTTGGAAAGGGTGAATTTGAGATCCTCATTGCCCGCCCTTCCTATAGATTCAAAATTTGGATGACCTCATATCCTTCAACCATCTTCCTTTCTTTAGTGCTGGCACATTCCTTGGGGAGGGAGGAATCACTCTGTGTTCTTGGTATCGGAGTCTCCATAACTTCGTCTTTCATGTGCTTGCATTAAGACTTATAGATTAACTTACCAAATCCAAAGATAGAGCAACTGTTCTAATAACATTGTTGCACTGTCTCATATGTGAAAGGCATTTAGAGATGTAAGAAATATTGGAATACTGGAATTTGTGAGGCATTTTGATCATTTGAGATGCTCTGTAATCATATGTTAGCCCTAATATGTACAAAGTCTATGATATATGGTGGCCTTGAATATTAAAGCCATGGTGATGGAGTATAGAGACTGGATTTGTGGGCAGTTGTCTGTGGATAACTGGAGCCAATCTGCTCCAGACATTTCAATGGTCAAATGAAGACATTCATTCTCCAGAGAAGAGTATTTTTCCATCTGAAGGCCCATGTGATTCCTGGAGAGGTGGCATTTATGGAAGGAAGGATCCTGTGATTGTTTCTATGGGCATCTGGGGACACAAGAGCAGAGTTGAACATCCAGTGAGGACCTGAGATTTCTCCTAGGTCTCCTGTCCTTTTCCTTCTGAATTCAGACCTGTACATTGTGAGAGGAGAAATTTTCATGTCCCTTCTTATGGTTTTCACCATTCTTGGGCCATCCATTTGCTGAGAAACATGTCTTCAGAGAGCCCCTGTGTTGGCCATAGATCTGTGATAACAGCATTTCCCAGATAAGCTGAGGCCCCAGAAACCCATATGGACTGGATTCTGATAGGATAACCTTGATATATTTTTGCTATAACTAATATTAAATTGTCTGAGCTTCCTTGAGCATTACTGGGTCTCCAGGGATGCTTTGTCATCACTACTTACTTAACTTGCTTCCACCGTGGGGCACTGTCCTATCACTTTGTCACAGTTCCAGTCAGACTTCTCTTTACTGTTTCAGGCTCTTCTCTGCAGTTCTCTGAAGAGGTAGCTGGTCCTGGGAAAGAAGATAGTCCCTGGCTGCTCCAGGGGGAAGAAGGTGACCCGGGGTATGATGACGTTGAACTAAATGCCCCTTGAACATCTACCATGGTTTTCACCTGATGTTGCATTAAAAATGAGATAAGGCCTCAGATATTCTAATTGCCTGTATTTCAATAGAATAGTGCTGCCCTATAATGGTATTATATGGAAATTACTTAAAATGAAATATTCTGAATAAAGTACTTTTTGCTTTGATGATAATTTAGCAAGTTTCATGTTGATTCAGTTTCTCCCAAAGGAAATACAAGGTGAATAAACTGACCTGTTTTCTCACTTCCTCTATGGGCTACTCAAGGCATTACTTTGCCCAGGCTCTCAAATGTTCCAGGTCTCTCTTTCTTAGACAGGGGACTCTAAACTTGGTCCATACTCATACCCTCATTCTTACCAAGCCCAACCTATTATACTTAATTGATGGCTCTGGATGTTGTTGGGGGGCGGCGGTCCAACCTACACTCACTTTTGCAATCTTCATAATTTTTGGCAGGACATGGGGATTGGAAGGTGCTCAAGGATTCTCCTGGTGCAATATACACGGCCATTTGCCATAGGAAAATGATGAGTTCAATGATGGAATAAAGTATGCCCACCAAGATTATTATATTTTACTTCTGATGCATGATGTCAACAAAGCCCAAATAGAAATCTGGCTACTATAAGTTTTCAGTTTCCCTTAGTTTTCCAGTTTCCACTGACATGTTCACATAAGAAGTCATAATTTTTGAGAGATTTTACATTCAACCCAGGACCAAGGATTGAATTCTTTCAAATCTTGAACTCCATTGTAGGGAAGGTAGAGTTCTGCTAGATAATGAGGATGGAGACCAATACTTGTGCACTTTTCTTGATATCCCACCTGGCTTCATAGTCTTCCCACTACTTTCCAGATCATTTAGCATCCTTAAGGCCTGCCTCAGTGCTCTGCTCACCATCTGCAGAGCTGAATCACTGGGATGATGAGGACTGGGGAAAGAAGGTCCCCTAGGTTGGTATAGAGGATCCCAGGTAGGGAAAAAATGCCAGGGAAAGGAGCTGAGCCTGAATTGTTGTCTGAGGAGAAAAGAGGGCCATGAGAGTTTAGAGAAGGCCATAAGCCCAGGAGAATCCCCCTTATCCCAGTCACCTCCTGAGTCCTCAAGACCATGAAATCACCATTCAGATACAGTGGATTTGTCTGAATCCCAAGATGTGATCGACCTAGGTCCTGCCCTGAGCTGTGTCAACTCTCTTCTGAATCTGGTTCTAAGGGAATTTTATAAAATTAAAGCCAGTAAATCTTTGGAGCATTGCAGCTGTCACAACTTAATAGGACTATGAACACCTTATCGTTAGGCCTTTCCTATACTGAAATGGTCAATTTTCCCAGAAATATGTAGATTCCATGGTGCAGGTCCCTAAAAATATGGGTGTCTCCTCTTTGACATAGTTCAGGACAGAAGAACCACTTACTTCCATGAATGGGGGAGAATGGTTGTCCTCACACCTGGAGAGAAGAGAAGGAGAATGGGATCACTGTATTGACTTGGCCTGGAAAAGCCATAGGCTACACCTACATCAGAGTCCTATTGTTCTCTCCCAGATCCCAGGTCAGGCAAGAGCCTCTCCCGTATTTGTACTGAGCCAGGGCACAATACAAAGTTAGTTCAGGAAGTACTTCTGGATACAAACTCACATGTCCTTGGATCCTCACCCAATACCCTGGTCCTTCTACTCAACCAGAGCGCCTCATTCCAGCATTGTTTCCTGCTTGCAGTCGCTCTGTCCCCAGGGATTGGCAGCACAATCCCACAGGGAGGACTCCCTGCCCCTGCACTTCATTCACCTCATCCAGCCAGATGCTCCCATTTCCCGGGCCAAATGCCGCCCTCTGCAGGGCATCCAGGGCAGAGCCACAGCCCAGC